CCCGCCGGCCCGGCCCGCCTGGCCCGGCTGACCTCCCGATTTTCCGGACATGCCCGGCTTTTGGGGATTTCCCCCCGGACGGGGATTTGAGCCCCCAAAAGCCGGACATGTCCGGGAAAATCCGGACGTATGGTAACCCTACCCATGCCGCTCTCCTCGGCCTCTCACTTTCCTCAGGCTCCTTTCTTTCACACTACAACCATGCTTTAGTCTTTCCCATATTGCCTTACCACACTTGCCTCTACAACTAGTATCTCATCTTCCCTTCATCTCTAAACTCACCGAATGTTCTGTCTACATCTGCTATTTGGAGTTCCTTTCCTCCATTTCCATCATAGATTCTCTCCAGTCTGCCGTCTGCCATCTTCTAAAATGCTTCCCAAAGTCTATAATAATCTCTTCCTGGCCAAAGTTTAGAATTAGTACTCCATCCTCATCCTCCTTGACCTGTCAGCTGCCTGTAGTGCTGTAGACCATGCTCCTTTTTCTTGAAAATTCGCCCTCTTTTGGCTTTCATGACTCTTGCGTCTCCTGATTCTTGTCTTGTTTTTAATCGCTCTTTTAGTATTTTGTTCAGAGGTTCCTCCTTGTGACACCTCCAGCTTTCTGTATGGGTCCCAAGTAGCTCCACGCTCAACCCCTCCTTTTCTGTCTATACCACCTCTCTGGGTGATCTCATTCACAAATGTGAGTTCAGGTATCATTTCGGTGCTGACTATTTACATATCTAGCTCTCCACTCCTGTTCAAACTAAAATTTCATCCAGTCTTCCTGACATTTCCCTGTAGCTATCAAGCCATTGGCTTCAGCTCAGTATGCCCATAAGACAGCTCTTACTCTTCTCTGCAAGCCCTCCTTCCTCTCAGTCACTATGGACTGCACCCCTATTGTCCCGTCACTCAGGCCAGTAAACTAAGCATCATGTTTGACTCCCCTTCAACTGGATCTCCATATACGTTCATATACTTGTGTATAAAAACACTCCCAACAATTTTTTGTATTGAAGGTTTTGAAAGTACACTGTGTTTTTTATATGAGGCACTATGCATTTAAGTTTAATAACCCTTAAGTAGCTATTAACAGATAAGGAAATGCATATTACCTGAATGTAAACAATTTAAATGAAAAAACATGTTTCTGCCTCAACCTTATACATTGAACAAGGCCCAGTTCTGATGGGTGCTAAACACCTCATGCCTGGTGGTAAGCATGCCCAACTACCATTGGTTTGAGTGGGAGCTGAGTGCTTTCAGCACATTGCAGAATCAGGTCTGTAGTGAATACTCCATGATAGGTTGGAATGTAGTTTGGTTATGAATTTGTATACAGTATTTTTAAATAGATACATAACAATGAGGTTTATGTGAAGAAAAATTTAATCCTGTAGAAGTATCAATGTGTGTCTTTTTTTCCCCCCACTGTAGCTCAGAAATTGGGCTTAGTTGAGCCTCCTTCCTTGCCACTAACAGCAGAAGAGTGGGATAAAGTAAAGCAAAGATCTATAAAACAGGGAGATTCTGTGCAACCTTGTGCAATATGTAGGGAAGAATTTGCACTTCAACCACAGGTACATTTATAACTTTTGGAGTGTATTCTGCACAAAAACATTCTTTAAACAGTTATTCACTTATTATTAGTTATTCATTTTCCAAAGTTATGGTTATGCTAGAAAATTGTAGTTGGAACAAGAGGAAAAAATGAGAGATTCCAACTTGAGATATTTGCTGACTTAATGAGCCTGTTGTGTAACTTATTTTTCTACAATTATTCATTTGCTGTATTTCCATTTTACTTTAGTTTATGTGAATTTGGTACTTGTGGAATGAACTGGATTGACAGAACTAAAGTTTAAAGACTATGCAAGTTTAAAGGCTATGCAAGAACAAATTCAACAAAGGTGATAGCAGTGAAAAAGTTCCCGCAGCACCCAGTGTGTGTCACAGACCTCATCCAGAGAGAGCTCTCTGTTAGAGGTCAGAAAACAGTTCAGTCTTCATCCAGACCTCTGACACCTCTACAGACTGTCAGTCAGGATACAATTTGTGGTGATTGTTTTTTTGTTGTGGAACCATGTCCATAAAGAAGAGTACTGACATCAACTCATTTCATGAGACACTTAACTATAAGATAGTGAATTTTGGTCAGTAGTGACCTTGGGTGGATTTGAACTAGTGACCTGGATATGAAAATTCTATTTTGTTATCGTACAGCTTTGCTCTGCAAATACTTACTACCAGGTGGAATCCCACTGAAGTCAATAGAACTTCAGAAGTGTTTGCAGGGTCCAATACTTAGATTGCAAGCTGTTTGGGACAGAAATCATGTCTGCTTTGTGTGCATCACTGAACACACTGTCCGTACTCCACAAATAATTTTTATAAAAGGTTGTTTTCACTGGTTCCCCTTTACTAAGAGAATGTTAATTATATTGCCTAATTAAAGGATCATTAGACCACATTCTTGACTTTCTAGGTTGTGCAGGCTCCTGCTGCTCAGAGATCCTGGCATTCCCAGATCCTGAACTATTCATACACATTAAGCTGTCGCATCCTGTACTCTTTAGTTCCCAGTTTTAGCTCGTCTCAAAGTTTCAACACAATTGAGGATTTCTTCTTCTCTTGGCTGGAGTAACTCTGTTGGGCATCATTGCGTTCAGCCCTCAACTCCATAAGGTACTGAGCAGCTTCAGCTCCCAGTGACTTCAGTGGAAGTTGAAAACTACTCAGCATTTACAGCAGTACTTACTTGAGCGTAGGGTGGAAGTAGTCTAGGCAATTAGGTGTCAAGTATCAGAGGGGTAGCCGTGTTAGTCTGAATCTGTAAAAAGCAACAGAAGGTCCTGTGGCACCTTTGAGATTAACAGAAGTATTGGGAGCATAAGCTTTCGTGGGTAAGAACCTCACTTCTTCAGATG